CCTTGTTTATTTGGAAAAACTGGAAGGCTAATGTAGGGGAAACCTACTGTGGAAGACTTTTGTCTTTTGAGGAGGTAGGTTGACTGGTTTGTATGATTCTTCTTCCCTGCTTATTGGCACCTCTGGGACCCACAAGGGATTTTGGTTGGCTTTAATGATTTACTCTTTGTGCTCCAGGGTAAGTAGCAGCAGGATGTGGGCCAGCTGTAGGCTAAGTAATACAGTTGCAGAGTTGATTAACTATGCTGGCCCCCTAGTTTAACAGGTGGGAGGAATTTAGATATTAGGCCAGCCAGCAGGTGGTCACTAAGTATCTAGAATATATAAATGTCTTAGATGGGGCCTGGCCCCTGGAACTTTGACTTAGGTCCTGATCAGAAGGGTGCTGGCTAGCTGGAGGGTCTTTGTCATTGGGCTTCTGATAACAGAGTGAGAAAGTAGTTTTATTTCGCTCATGCTGTGTTATTAAGCAGTGAACTTCCTTCCACATGTGTTGTTATTGCCAATGGATCCAAAAGAACTCTTGCATTTGGCAAAACAGTTTATCAGTGCGTCTAGGATCTTTAGGTACTTCTACTTATGTTTCTGATTGCCTAATCTGTGTTTTACTCTCTCTCTCTCTCTCTCTCTCTCTCTCTCTCTCTCTCTGTCAAGCAATCTCTTAAAGACTGGGATCTAGCATCAGTTATTCCATGCATTCTGAAGACCAGACTTCTAACTACTATGCTCCCATATATTTGGGGCTCTATAAAGCTGTCAGGGTCCAGCCTTGCCCAGACCTTGGACCCAAGGTTCTTTCAGATGAGCAGCAAGTAGTGGAGGAGGCTGCAGGAGCCCTGCACATTGACAACAACCTCGGGGAGCCAGCAGGTTTGAATATCCCTGCTCCTCTTCTGGTTCCTGTATCAGCTCCCTGGGCCACAGCAGCCAGGGAAACAAGAAGCCAAGTAAGCATTTTAGAGTCATTGCCAAAGCTAATTGTATGTGAGGCTACTTGGGAGGGGGGAAATCAAGGAAATGCCTGCTCAGATCAGGGCCTAACCCAAGAGCCAGGTGATGGAGCCTCGAGCTTCTATATCAGCTCCCAGTATGAGCTGATTTGTTGCTGAAGTAACAACAGTCATCCAGGCTCCAGCTTTATTGACCTGGACAGATGGACAAAATCCTATCAGTAGAACTGTCCCTGTGTTCTTCATGCCCCTAATTTCATTGTTGTTCCTCCTGCTGCCACTAAAATGCCACTCCCTCTTGGTTCCTCCTATCTCTGCACAGGGCATATGAGCAACAGGTCAAGAACTCCAGGACTTGTAGTTCTTGAGAGAGCTGGCGGCTCACCATCCAGAAGGTTGTTTGCTCTGCCTGACTCTGGCAGACCTCAGAACAGAGAAACACCACTCATAGGTATGAGGTAATAAGATCGTGTAAACAGCCTAAAGCATGATCCACAGCAGGGGTGGGAAACGGCATGCAGTCACTGGGCCATATCCTTACTCACCCTGTCCCCTGCAGGCTAAATTTGATGAGTGGGTAAGGCTGCCTATCTGTCAATCACATGCCATCATAATGATGTCAGGTGACTCACTTTTAAGTACCTTGTATGACACTATAAAAGCCCTGATAGAATCAACAAATTGGAAGGCAGGGGGAAGCGCAGAAAGGGATGTCTACTGGTATGAATGATAAGGACTGAGGTTGTTCCTGAAACAAACATTCAGATATGCATGTGGACCACGCCAGTCTCATTTGAAGGGGGGAAATGTGGATTAACAGCTAAAGAATACTCAGGGGTGGACCTGTCTGAAGTCAGCCCGCCCCTGCAGTATGGCAGCATGTCACATAGCTGGTGAAAGGATTTTGTTCATTCCTAGTGGAAAAGCAAAACATGTAAGCCTGATAGACACTGTCACTTTTAAGAAATGCTATGAAAAAGTGGAGCTTGTAAACTTGCATTGCATTTGCCTGAGCAGAATTACAGCAGCTGGTTTTCCGCAGAGACCTATTTTATGCAGACTTGAAAACCTTATTGTTGCTGTGATTTTGTAAAGTCTCTTGAATGCATTGAGGCAAATCCCAAATAATACTATTGCTGTAAGAAACAGAAATTGAGTCACTTTGATTTTGTTGTTCATACAGTATTGAGCTTGGGACTGTTAGCCAAGGTTGCATATGCAGGTAGTGGCACAACTGTGGCACTCTGTCAATTATTTTTCCATTGGGGGTGCACCCTCATATTTAAAAACTGATATTCTTTCAAATTCAGGTCATTTCGCCCAAATGGGGAAGGATATGAATTTTAATTAGGCTTAAGCCACCCTACTTAAGAGGAAATGATAATTTAAAGACTAGTTCAATTTAGGCTCTGTTGGAACTTGAAATTCAATAATTAACGAAAACCTGAATGGATATGTAAAGACTGTATTATTTTAATATTTATTGAATTTATATACCACCCTAAACCCACAGGTCTCTGGGCGGTTCACAGAATAAAATCAGAATATAAAACCACAAAATACATAATCAAAATAAAAACAACAACCCAATTGCCCCCCCCCCCATTTTAAAAGGGCATAGGATGTCAATCAAATCAACCAAAGGCCTGGTTAAAAAGGAACGTTTTTGCCTGGCACCTTAAGTGTATAATGAAGGCGCCAGACAAACTTCCCTGGGGAGAGCATTCCACAGACGGGGAGCCACTGCAGAGAAGGCCCGTTCTCGTGTTGCCCCCCTCTGGACTTCTCGAGGAGGCACACAAAGGAGGGCCTCAGAAGATGATCTCAGGGTTTGGGTAGTTTCATGTGGAAAGAGGTGGTCCTTGAGGTATTGTGGTTCTGAGCCATTTGTGGCTTTATAGGTCAAAATCAGCACTTTTAATTGGGCCCAGAAACTAATTGGCAGCCAGTGCAGTTGGACCAGGATTGGTGTAATATGTTCAAACTGTCTGGTTCCGGTGAGCAACCTGGCCACTAAATTCTGCACTAGCTGAAGTTTCCAAACCATCTTCAGAGGCAGCCCTATGTATAACACATTGCAGTTGAGGTTACCAGAGCATAAACAACAGTAGTTAGACTGTAAGCAAAGGTAGAGATATGCTAGCTGCATTTTGGCAGTTGATTGAAGCTACTGCCATATATTAGTAAAATAATTTCCCCATGAACAAGGATGCAAAAAACAACCACACATGAAACATTAGCTTTTCTTCAATTTCCCTGTCTTACTTTAGATCCAAAAGGAGCACTAATCTTTTCAGTGCTCATTTTGGAACTCACTGGCTAGTTTGCTGCTTACAACACACCTAAGTAAAAAAATATGGAATACTTATTACAGCCTCATGATTTCGCCGCCCTGCCCATTACCCATGTATCACAGTAGTTACAAATATTGCTAATAACTGCTGAGATGCTTGATGCTATCAACACTTCTGTCAAGAGAACAAAACTGCAGGCATACCATTAGTTGTACTGCTATCATAAAAATGGTTGGGTATATGAGATATCAGAAAGTTAGTTCTTTCAGTGACAGGAGCCTGAGTAGGAAATGACATATTCCACAGAACCAATTTTTTGGCAGGTCTTAAAAGTTTCTTCCTTGGGAAAACAATATTTGATCTTTCTAAATAACGGTAGTAATTTGTCAAAAGAAGGAGAGGTGTGTGCTACACAGAATGGCCTGCTTTCTAGGAAAGAAGGACAAATTATGCATTTGCAGGGAGGAAATGAGTTTTTCTGAAATGTCTTCTAGGCCGATAGAAGCGGGGAATGCTTCCTTTACATGTAAAAATATGGAAATTAGAAATAGAATAGCTGGATAGTTATTAAAGCATTTCTTTCTAACAGGGAATTTGTCATGAAGCTTTTAGAAATCGTTTCTGAAGTATTTCTCTCATCTCAATATTAGGGCTGTTGTTTTTCAAATAATGCAGTCTTTGATAAGCACTGTGTGAGGAGAATCACACTGAATTTTACCCTTGTGCTCCCACACTGAACCAAAAGCTGTACTATGCTGGGGCAAAGACAAAAGCATGGGGGGGGGGGAGAATGACCATGTGACAGAGGAGTGGCCAGCTTACAGTGCAATCCTAACCAGGTCTACTCAGAAGCAAGTCCTATTGAATTCAGTGGGGTATACTCCCAGTTAAGTGGGGTTAGGATTGAACCTCTGTTCAGTATCCTATCTGCCATCCTAGGATCAGTGATTGGCCCTTGCGCTTGTACACTGTGGGACACCCAAACATACTACTATGGGCCAGTGTCACCCTCGCAGAGGAACCCAAACAGGCAAGCTGGAGGATGCTGATGCCTGTATGAATACCTCATCGTAGCAACCACAAGTTCCAACAGGTGTCTCAAACTTCAAGTTGCATAGTAAAAGTCTATTCATTTTGGCTCATAGACCTGTGAAACTGTAGATTCACAAGTAGCAAGCGGGCGCAAAGTACTTGATTAGGGGCAATAGTTACAAAAGAATAACCACAAAGGGGACTTTTTGAACAAACAACACCAGAGGCCAAGAAGCACAAACCCTATGAGGAATCTCAACCTGGTAGCTGCAACAGAAGGTGAAAGGAGATAAGCAATAGAGAGAGGCCCACCATGAAGGTAAACCAACTCACACTCCCCCCCCCCCGAATAGACTACAGCCCAGCGGGGGGGGGGGGCTTTGGTGGGGGACAGTTTGAATTAGAATCTGGCAGGTGATCCAGTCACCCCCTGCAGCCAGTTGGGAAGGAGGAGGGGGCCACCTCCATTCCTGAGGAACTGTGCCAGGCTGCAACTGTTGCCCACCGTAAATGGGGTAAGCAGTTTTTTTTGCCCACTGTTTTATGCTGTGTTATATCAGAGAATTGAAGGTGGCATAAAAGAGGCATTGCTACCTGTGGTATGCACAATCATCCCACTATCATTTTGGAGCAACAAGGTTTGTATAGTTACAGGTAGGTAGCCGTGTTGGTCTGCCATAGTCGAAACAAAACAAAATCAATAAAAATATATATTAAAAAATTCCTTCCAGTAGCACCTTAGAGACCAACTAAGTTAGTTATTGGTATGAGCTTTCATGTGCATATCTGAAGAAGTGTGCATGCACATGAAAGCTCATACCAATAACTAACTGAGTTGGTCTCTAAGGTGCTACTGGAAGGATTTTTTAATTTTTTAAATTTTGTTTTATTTTGTTTCAAGGTTGTATAGTGCAGAGTTGTCAACCTGGTCCTTACTTCCCACTAGTGGGTGTTTGAGGGTTCTAGGTGGGTGGTAGGGGGTTCTATGGCACAAGCTGAATCCTCCTTCCATCGAGCACTGGTGGGCGGCAAGGAAATTTTACCATCAAGAAAGATGCATTAGTGGGCGGTAGGTATAAAAAGGTTGACTACCCCTGGTATAGTGATTCTAAAACCTGCAGACTCATTTGTCTAGAATGGACATGAAAGAAATACGTGTCTACAGTATAAAAAATGGTGACGCCAGTGTCTTGCCATTTCAGCTCTCAACGTTTTTAGCCTTTGGTGAAGCATTGAAATACTAAATCTGCTAAACAATTTGGTAACGTGTGTGTATGTTACTTTAGGGTTGTTTTAGGATTGGAGCAGCAATATGGCATGCTGCTATGAAAATGAGCGCATGAGTCACTTTCATTATAGTAAAATGAGAAAAGAAGATTGACAGGCATCAGAACATGCAGTCCTCTGCAGTTCCACATTAGCTAACAGCATTCATGGCTGGACAAACATTAAAAGGCCATAAAAGTACTTTGCCTATTTATATGCTTATACCATCTGTTACATATTCAAATAAAGTGTAGTGTTACCTCCAAGATAATTAGATTTTCAGGTAGCATAACAGTTCTAAAGGCAGATTCATAATATTAATTGATGTCTACTAATTAACCCTTAGGATAAGCCAATCCTCCTCCTTGTTCTTTTCGCACATCCCTGCATAATGAGTGTTTACTTTTTCTACTCTTCTACAAAGAGTATTTCTAGATGGAAGAGCAATATTCTAATGCATTTTCATACTCGTAAGACAATTCCTATTTAATCAACCTGAAAATGAAAGCATAGCTTTAATTTCAGATTCAAAGATCTTTCAAATATGCTAACTGAAAAGTTGGGGACACACCCTATTGGAAGTAGTGATTGTGAAATGATTAAAAGAAATGCCCTGATCTGTTCTCAGTCACCTCTTAACAATACCTTTAGAGGCATCTTAGTCTCTTCCTGAGCTTGTTCAGCAACATCAGATGATCTAATCCATGTTCAAAGTCCGTTTTGGGGGCCTAATCTGGCCGCCTGTTGGTCGATTTAATCTGGCCCCCATAAAAATGGCTCAACAACTTCAATCCTAAATCTGGCCCAATTGCCTTCTAAACCCATCCCGCGGACGGTCCGGGAATCAGTGTGTTTTTACATGAGTAGAACATGTCCTTTAATTTAAAATGCATCTCTGGGTTATTTGTGGGGCATAGAAATTCGTTCATTCCCCCCCCCCATAGTCCGGCCCCCCACAAGGTCTGAGGGACAGTGGACCGGCCCCCTGCTGACAAAGTTTGCTGACCCTTGTCTAAGCCACATCTCTGGTTTCTTCCCACGCCAAGGGCAGAGCTAGTGCAAAAGGGTACAATAGTGTGGTCTCCTGCCTTATCATGTGGCTTCAGACTTCCCATCTTCTCAAATAGCACTGGGTGGAGTCATGCTGCAGCATCTGCCACACTGTTAAAGGTGACATCAGAAGAAGCTGTACTGGTCATTGGTCTTTTAGAATTCACATGGGATTATCATGGACTGTTCCTCTTGGATATTGTGTGTGGCTAATGGGTCCAGCTTTTTTCTTTCTCTACACACATGGATTTATAGATATACAAACTCAAGATAGCAACTTGTGTATCTGACAGAGCTGGCTCTGGTCTATATAAGCTTATGCCACAATGAACAATTAGCCTTTAAGGCACCGCAAATTGTTATAACTTTAGGACTGTTTACTGTAAATATTCTTCCTCCTTTTCAAATGGATGTTGGCAAAGCAGAACAGAAAGAATGGGTAGCTTTATTATATACATTATGCTGTTGACATTTAAGGGCAGTATCCAATCAAAGTGAAGCACATTTGTACTATTGAGCACGGGTCCTTCTCTCCCCTCCTTAACTGTAGATTAAGTCTCTATTGTATACAGAGGCCTATTAGAAGGAAATAATTTTTTTTACTTTATTTTATTACATTTACAAATGAGAGATCTGCTTTGCCATATGAGATACACTAGAACTCGAGTCCTCTAAGTCATTTTCTGTTTTTAGACCTTACACTTTGAGCATGATATTTTCTTACAACGCAACTTCTTTGCTCAATGGCCTTTTCACTCATACACATGAGCTTGTTGTGTGTACAGTTAATGTTAATTTCCCTTGAAGGAGACCCTTCCACCTCCTTCTCTGGCACTGAGGCTGAGTTAGTGTGCCAGTGATAGAAGGTGATGCGTGATTGGACTTGTGTCCTGGCTTTTGCTAAAATGACCAATTATTGGCTGCTCTTCAGAAAGCAGCAAGTCTTGATAGCTGTTTGCACTGATTAGAGGGAGCAGCTGTTTTCTCTGGCTTAGTTAGCCCAGCTTTTAAAGGCAGCCCTTTCGTCTCTCTGCTTGGGTTAACTGGACATCTTCTATGCTATGGCTAAAAACAACAAACAAAAGTGCCGCAAGATGGGTGGGGTATAAATAATAAATTATTATTAAGGCTAACACATTTATTTTGGCATGAGCATTCACAGGCAAGATCTTCCTTCATCACATGGATGTGTCATGAAGCACACATCAAAAGAAACAATCTCCTGTCCATGATGACAGCTTGTGCCAAAGTGCATTTGCTAGCACCATACAGTATGTCACACAGGAGGTCCATGATCAGATTTCATAATTTCTGTCTTTATAAGATTAAAGGCAACCATGTTAAAGTGGGTCTACAGTATTGGAGGAAGGGGTGCTTAGTCTTAAATCACACTGCTGAAAAAAGGGTGAGAGGCAGCCCTGCTTTTATCCCTGGGAAGTGGACCGGCTCTGCTCCCTGGAATGAGCCCACCCTTGAGCCCGCCTACCATTGATCAATCCAGCAGGTGAGCCAGATTCAACTTTCCAGCTGGAGGAGAGGGATATCTCCTACCAGCTGAATGATCCGAAGTAGCAGCTGCCATGGCAGACCATTCTACAACTCCACACTACTAATTAAGGTAAGCAGTATTGCCAAGGGTAGCTTTTGGCTGAAGAAGAGATTGTTGGAGACTTACAGAGTTTTTGTGACATTTGGGTTTATACGTGGATAGGTTGAGCATTGGTGGTGACAGCTTAAGCACTTCTTCAAGCAGCACATCCACTGCCCCTCATCAGAGCCACTGAAGGTCACCCCCCACGTTTTTCAGTTTACACTGTATCACTGAGACCAGGGTGGATAGAGGGGGTGCTGCTACAAACTTCCCCAGATGTGTCTACCAACACTATTGGTGCAGTTTCTGCATGATTAAGAAGGCTCTTGTATCTCTTTTGGGAGTGTGCTTATTTTGGCTTTGCTCTGAGCAATGGCTGTAGTACTATTGTAGGGAACCAGAGGAACCAGTTCAAACTAAGTATGCTCCCATCAGGAGAAACCCTGGTGGCTCCTGCCAAATAACCTTTCCACAGGCAGTAGCTGCTGCATTGGCAAATTTCCCTGAAACGATCTATTTGCATAATTGGCCATGCAAGTGCAAGCCTAATAAGTCCCCCAAACCTCTACCATTGTCTAATGCAAGCAGATACTCATGGTAAAGACCAAATTATCCAGCTGGAAAAGCTTGTCAGAATAAAAAGCTCTTCAACTGTTTCCAGAAAGTGAAGATAGCTTGCGGTTTTCCTCCCAGATCAATCAGGACCCTCATGAGAAGCACCAGCTAATGTTAACCCAAATTAAGCATATTCTATTTTTGAAACTTGATTGTGAAGGTTTTTAAAACCCAGGGTGGTGAGCAGGCTTGGCTTCACAGCCACCCCATCTGCACCTGAGCCTGATGATCTCTTGATGAGAGAGTACCCTCTTACCAGTGTCCATGCATTTGAGTGGACCAGCCACCTGCTTCTCATTTGCTGGGAGAGAAATCCTGGATTCAGCAGTTCATGACAATACTCGAGGGACTTTTTCTCTTTGTCCACCCTTCCTTGGGACAGGTAAATATTACCTTATCCTTATCTTTACTTTTGTCATTTCCCTAACCTCAGGGTCTCTCAGGAGTGTGTTTCCACAACCATAAAGGCAGCTGCAGTGGAACCTTCTCTGGAGGAATCTTTTGTCTCCCTATGAATGCTGTCGCAGTCTGGGCATCTAAACTGTGTTCATATTAGCATCCAGCAGTTTCCTAGGTTTTGTTTGGGGGCTGGGTTTTTGTGTGTGTGGTTTTTGCATCGTTTTGTGTAAAAGGATCCAGAGACCATCTGTCCTTCTCATTGCTGAAGCACTGGATCGGGGTGATGGTGGTGGAGAGGAACGCAAAGCATTTGGCAGCCTCAGAGCTATCATTTGACGCAGCACTCTCTACTATAGTTGCTAATGGAAACCTGAGTTCATTGACACTGGCGGGACCTGCCTCCTCTGATGCTAAAAGCCTATTAATCTGTCAGGCAGCTGATATACCTGATAAACTATGCTTTAACGCACCTGCTACCAGGTGGTGGGGAGTCTGTTATGAGAATAATATATATATTCTTTGGTCATGCAGGAGTCTGAAAATGGCTTCCTATATTTGTACAACATCCTGGAGAGGTGAAATAAAACTGCCATGGCAAGCTATTGAGCACCGAGGCACACTGCAAACATCCAATTTAATCAGTTCCACTGGGACTTCATGGTTCCTGCTACATCAGTCTGTACTGGTGAACCTGCTGAGCATTTTATGGGCAAATCAGCATGATTCTCTCTCTCTTTTAATACGGCTTCCCATTCCTGCTCTTAATGGCAGCCATTGTAGTCCTAAAGATGGATGAAACGTGTTTGTATTCCAAGCAGAGTTCTGTGCAGAATGATAAGGTTGGCTATGCTACGGTGAACCTGCTATATCATCACAGGGTGGTTGCCCTTGTCCAAAAAAAGAAAAAAGATCTGAGCAATCAAAGGTTTCTCACAAAATCAAGCATTGCCTATTAATTAGATTGCCTAGTAAGTGTGCATACTGCAACTGAGATTTCCCCCCTCGTGATGCTTACCTGAAGCCTGTCCTCTTCTGGTTTGAGGATTCTTGGGGATTCTCCAGATAGGGTAGTCCTGGAATAGCCTGTTGCAGGATTCTGAGAATGTTAATGTCAGTTTTAAAAGACATGATTCTAGTCCTCATGGTTATGAAGAAAAAGCATCAATGCAGAGCTTTTTTAGGCTCAGAAATTTGGAGGGCAGAGTATAGGTTCAACCTCAGTAAGCAAAATACAAGATATGCACTGTGCATTGGTTCTTTCTAGAGTCTGCTGTCTTCCCTTTCCCTACACATGAATTCAGATAAAAATTCACCCCAAAACCTTATCTCAGCTGCTAGCTGAACATTTCACATTCTATAACACTCAGGTTTAGAATACATAAGAAAAATGTTTGCAAGTTGAGCGTATTTTAAACACACACACACACACACACACACACACACACGACAATCTAAACTCCTTGTTTACATTTCATCATGTGGCCAAGATACCCAAGGGCTTCACATTTTCTCAATACGTTGTGAGTAAAATGAATTCTATTTTTCCCTACTCCCAGGGTATAGTTTTAATCAACTACCTACTGGGTCGCATAACAGTTCAGCAGAGTGGAAAGCAGACAGAATCTCTCTGCTGGGTCGCTGCTATTCCATGTCAATCACAGGGTCATCTGACCTAATGACAGGAAACAGTGAGCAAGCTACTTTTTCCTAAGACCAATGGTCTAAAGTCGCAAGATAGAATATATAATTAAAAGTGCATATTAGCACTTTTTGAGAAAAGCATTTGAGAAAAGTGCATATTAAGGGCAGTATCCAGCTAATGCAAGGATTTACACTTGTGCTATGGAATTTCCCCATGTGTGCCTCCTAAATCTGTTCTGGGTTTCCATGCAACACACCAGAGCAGATTTGGAGAGGGAACAGGGTACACATGGGATGAGAAGGAGGTGGGAGTTTCTTTGCACAAATGGAAACCCTTGTGTTGATGGAGCAACTTAGTTTGATAGTGCCCTAAAACTTCAAGTATGCCATATTCAGATGAACATTGCTGTATATATATGTTTTGAAGGCCCAAGGGCACATATTGAAATCTTAGGAATGATCATGGGCAGAAATTCAAGCCGACACTGTAGAGCAGTGCTTTTCAACTGGTGGAATGTCATGAAACATCTGGAGGTTGTAAAGCACTTTTCTCGTATGTGCAGATGTGGATGAGAGTGTAACAGTGCATTCCTGTGCTGCCTTGTTATGCACAAAGTTAGGGCATAGCTTTTAAACATATAGCTGAGGTCATCTGTGTGGAGGCCTAAATCAGATGCAGCTCTTTTGTCTGATTGCATTTTTCTGTTGTCGCATAGTCTGCATGCAGCCCCACGATGGCAATTCTGTGGCCTCTCCACGTATGCGCTGCAGAATGTGTGAACCCCATGCTCTGGCAGCAGGTGATGAATCTACACAGAGGAGTCTGCCATGGTTGGTTGGGCACTGTGCAGCTCTAAGGTGAAAAAGCACTTAGGAATTGGTTTCCACCCACAGCGCTTTGTCATCTTTCGCACACTTTTCCCGCTTTGTCTTTTGCAGTGGATTTCTGTACTGTACTTCAGTGTTGTCATCCAAGAAGTGTAATGTCTCTCTCCCCTCTCCCCCCCATCCTCAATCCTGATATCTGCTGTCAATCCCGGCAATGCTTTCACCCTGAAATCATTACTGACAGCGTTTACTGATCAAGTCAAAGACTGTGGCATACTTTTCACTTAATCTCAATCTGTTTTTGAACTGGCTTCATTCTTTAAAGGCTGGATCTAGTTTGAAATTTTCATACAGCCTCACATCTATTTTGATTACACTTGGAGATAATTCTAAATTTGTTTAGTTATGGAAAAGACACTTTTGAATGCTGAGTGTTTCTGAAGGTCTTAGTTGGCACAGACCAGTTATTGTAGAACATTCCCCTGTGGCCATTTTTGGTGCAAAGCGCTTAGGTTACATTATGATATTTGAATTACATAGCAGCAAACTAATATAGGCTATTTATAAGCTAACCTTTTATTTTCCTGGAGACTAACCGCACCCCCCAAGACAGAATCTTTTGTACATTGCAGAAGATAAGAAATTGAAGTCTTCCGTAAAAACAGAATGCTTGACTTTTCCAGAAAATAAATACTTCTTGTGCACATGTATGAGGTGAGTTGGTATTGATGAAAATTGGTAACAAAGGGGATAACTAAGACCAGATACCCAAACTTTAAGTTCATTTGCCATCACAAGTAGGGAAGGTGAAGTAATTCAGTTCAGTTCACATTTACTGAATTTTCATTTCATGAAACAAAAGAGGAATAAAAACGCAGGCGCCCTTTGAAATTTGCACTTCTCTGAATACTAGTTGCTAAGAATTGGAGCTGGGCAGAGTGTAATTTGCACACAGGTTCTGCTTTTGAGCTTCACACAGGCATTTGGTTGGCCAGTGTGAGAACAGGATTTTGGACTAGATGGGTCTTTGGTCTGATCCAGCAGGCTCTTCTTCAGTTCTTATGAGATGCAGCTATCTAACCAAAAATAATGTGTATATTAGCAGAAAGTGTGCTTAGAAACACTTTTATTAGTGAAAATAACATATAAAAATGCATTATATTGGGGAATGCATATATTGGGCAAGACTGCATAACATGTGAGTGTTAGGATAATGCTTAATAAAATGGTGAATTTCTGTGCGTATTAATATTATTATTATTATTTAAAATCACAAACTAATATGGAAATGTGGCAAACTTGAACCTAAGACTGGGACAATGAGAATCTGAGAGGAAACTGAAATGGACAGATGCATCAATCTTAACTCACAAACACTTTCTTCATTCTCTTTCTACCATCAAATCCTAAACCTTTACCAAAGAAGGGTATCTTCCTTCCTTCCTTCCTTCCTTCCTTCCTTCCTTCCTTCCTTCCAAATCCATTGCTGGTAGGTGTGCTGCTCCAACTTCTCTGTGCTGGTCGGTGTCTTTTTTTCCTGTGCCCAGAAGAAACATAACATTTATATTTGTGGAAATAAATATTCTGTGATTTAGGGAAGCTTCAGCTTTGCATTTTATTGTGAACTACAGATTCTTCATTTAATTTGAGGATTTAAGGATTGTGCTAGGTCCACCTATACCAGCTACCTCCAGCAACCATTAGCTAGATATCCTGAGCAGGTTGTAATGGTCCTCTTTGTTGGTTCCCAGCACGGAGTTCTTCGATATGCACTGTCTCTGAACACGGAGGCTTCCTTCAGCTATCAGAACTAGTGGCTACTTTGAGTTTTTCATTCTTTATTTCTTTTGCTTAATATATCTTTAGAAAATCTTATAATGATAGTTATAATATGAATCATGCAATAAAAAGTCTGTATCCCTTGGAGGCAATATCAGTGTTGAGGGAGGCCTTCACAGTTTTCACATTAATAGTTACAATTTTCATCTGATGAGACCATCCTTCTGTAACTGTTTCCTTTCCGAGTGTAAGGGATGCAGGTGGCGCTGTGGTCTAAACCACTGAGCCTCTTGGGTTTGCTGATCAGAAGGTCAGCATTTCGAATCCCCACAACGGAGTAAGCTCCCGTTGCTCTGTCTCAGCCCTTGCCAACCTAGCAGTTCAAAAGCACACCAGTGCAAGTAGATAAATAGGTACAGCTGTGACAGGAAGGTAAACGCCATTTCTGTGCACTCTGGTATCCATCACGGTGTTCTGTTGTGCCAGAAGTGTAATGCTGGCCACATGACCCAGAAAGCTGTCTGTGGACAAACGCCAGCTCCCTCAGCCTGAAAGGGAGATGAGCGCTGCAACCCCAGAGTTACCTTTGACTGAACGTAACTGTCCAGGGGTCCTTTACCTTCTTACTTTTTACCTTTCCCAGTGTGCAACCTGTTAACTCTTTTCATACAACCTTGTAACTTAATGTTTAATAATAATTTTAATAATGTAATTGTTGTCATACAAAACTTAAGATATACACAGTGGTACCTCGTGTAACGTACTTAATCCATTCCGGAGGTCCGTTCGTAACAGGAAACTGCTTGTAACATGAGGCGCACTTTCTCTAATGGCGCCTCCCGCTGCTGCCGCGCCGCCAGAGTACGACTTCCGCTCGCATCCCACGGCAAAGGTCGCAACAAGGGGCATCTACTTCCGGGTTAGCGGAGTGCGTAACCCACAGCATTCATAAGGGAGATGGTACATAACACGAGGTACTTCTGTATTTTAGGTAGATAAGGGAGAAAACAAGGAATGTAGCAGAGGCTCAACTGGGTTGTCAAAACAATCCAAAGCATAATCCTAGTCAGTAGAGGACAATTCCTGTATATTCCATAAGCATCACAGCATTTTTGCTGCTATTTCCTGAATGGACAGCTGAGTGGAGAGATTTGTGCCTTTTCTCCCCCAGAGCTTCATCTTGAATGATGCCAAGTATCAAAAGGCAGCCATGTCTTAACCTGCTTCAAAGGATCAATCTTTGTAGCCTTTGTGTATGAAAAATGCCTTCTTACACCCCGAGCAGCTTTCAACGCAAATTGTTTTCTTCTCCATAATAAAGAATCAATCATGTTTTCATTTCTCCTTATTTCTTCTAATTGATATAAAAATGCAACATTACTTCCATAATAGGCTGATCAGTGGTGCATTCTGTGGTGCACGGAGAAACAGAAAACTCTCCGAACTGATTTTTTTCAGAATGCATTAAAAAATAAATAAAACCTCAAGCAGTATCACAATGAGACATCATTACACACAGTAAAATGTAGGGTGAAAAGTCTTATAGAGGAGTAGCTTGCATGATCACAGTTTTCATAATCTATGTAGCCTGCAAAACGAGACTCATTACAATATATCATTTTCTGCAGAAAATTCAGTGCATCCTGGGTTGTGGGGACTGCAGGGGTGAAGATTGCACCAAATAAGATTGGCAAAAATACCTGTTTTCCTTCAAACTACTGTTGGGTATAAATTTACAGAATGTTTGGGAAAAGGTTGTTTGTTTTGTTCACTTCAACACATTATATGTTTGGAATAACTATTGTCTGGTGCACAAATGCACGAGAAGGAAGTGACTAAGGTGCTACAATGGATTGTGCCTTCCCAGGGAAAAGAAATTTCCTGTCCATAAAAATCTAGCACATCAGAGGCAGAGAAAGAGGCACCTGGCCAATAAGTTCCCTGCATACCACATTTCTAACTGCAGCCCTCGGCATCCCTGTGTTCAGTCTTGAGTGACTTATTCCAGAATTTCTGAAACATTCTTTTAAAAAAACGCAAACTGCTTGGAAATGGCTGGGAATCTCAGCTGACCACTTTAAAAATTGTTGTTTTTTTGTTCTATAGAGCTGAGCATATATAACTTGCATTAAAAAATAAAATAAAATCATTTGGTACCATCATCATTGTTAAAACTATTGATAATGAAAAGCAGTCCCCAGGCTATGCCATTGAGAGGAGACCCTTTATCTGCTGTATTATGAAAATTATGGGCCCTAACCTGGGCCTTATTAGCCTGTCCAATAATCAAATGGCCCTGATCCCCATCGTTAGGGGGAGTAGAAATCAAGATGCAGAGTTGAGTATAGATATTCTTCACTGCTCCTCAACCTTTCTGTGGACCACCAGCATGGAGCTTGTGGACTACCAGCAGTTCATGGACTGGAGTTTAATAAGGCTGAACCTCTGCATAAGTACTGACCTGCCTTTGGTGGTGTCTTATTGGAAGAGACCTCAATTTCTCTGAATGAGTACCGCATCCCTGAGGAATGCAACATCCCATTGGCCATTTGGAAAGCTGTAATTTTAGATGTTCCCCATGAAATGTTACTTCTGTGTATGCATAATGCAGAGCTTCAGAATTGATGTCTTGGGCTGCAAGGGTCGTAGGAGGAGGAAGAAAATGAGTTGGGGATAAAGATAATCCTGCGGAAGAATATGCTTGGTGTTTAGAACATTTTGTCTTGTACCGAGTGATTGCAAAGATATACACAGTGCAATCATCCTTCAAGCATCAGAGTGATGTAAGCTGGTTCATGTTGTGCAGTCTGTCGGATGTTGCCAGCATAATTTAAAAGTCTCACATGAAACCGAGTTCAAATTATTCAGAGAGCATTTCTGCAGGGATTCGTGGAAATCAAAATGAAATCAATGGAGCCATTTGTAGAATGGTTATGCATGCTGAACATTGGTTTTCTATGAAACTTACAAGAAAAAAAGAACAGCAAATATATTTTTGCAACTATATGGGCTCAGTTTTTATTATACAGTAAATTCCATTTATTAAAGCAAAGGTACAACTTCAGGTTTGAACATTAATGACTTAAGAGTTAGCTTTAATTTTAGTTAATATATTAACCAACCGAGCTATCCAGGTTGTTCTTAACTTTAATATAACATGATCCTCCCTCCTTCATCTACCTTTGCCAGCTATAGAAGGCTTGGGGGAAGGCACGGATGAGCAGGCAAGGCGGCAGATAGAAGGATACACCATTAGGTGTAAGCATTGCAATCTTATTGAGTGCCTGAGACAATGTCAGGATTTAGGTACCATCTGTGGGTGAGGACTTGGCAATCCCAAATAACAATAAGTAAACTTGGGCAAGAGGGTGATTTCAACTGGTGCAATTCTGTGCTAGAGCTTCTCCCAACTCCCAAAGCAGATGTGGGGATGGTGAGCAGTGCATGCGGGTGGAGGAGAGGGAGGAAAATTCCTGTTACACAAGCAGATGTCATGCCGCTTGTACAGTTATTTAGCTGGATGCCACTCTATGCTTTCTTAGACCTGATTCATGGCAATTCCCTCCCAATTAAATGCAGTGTCCAGTGTGGACAGGTAAAGTGCAGGTGAGGCTTTACAGACCCTCTTGCCTCCTTTGATTACATGTTTTATATTTCTTTGCTTCCTGTTGATTTTGGCTGGGGGAATAGTCATGAATAGCTTTCTAGAGACCTCTTAAATAGCATCTCTTAATTGATTTAAGAGATATGCTTAATTGAGCATATTCACCCAGTGCTTTTCCAGCTGCACTGGCTCCCGGTGGAGTACAGGGTCAGATTTAAGGTGCTGCTTTTGACCTTTAAAGCCCTTCACGGCCTAGGAGCCTCGTACCTACGGGATCGCCTCTCCCGGTATGCCCCATGGAGAGCCTCAAGGTCCATAAATAGCAACACCCTAGTGGTCCTGGGCCCTAAGGAAGTTAGATTGGCTTCAACCAGAGCCAGGGCCTTTTCAACCCTGGCTCCGGCCTGGTGGAATGCTCTGCCTCATGAGACCAGGGCCCTGCAGGATCTGATTTCTTTCTGCAGGGCCTGTAAGACAGAGTTGTTCCGCCTGGCCTTTGGCTTGGAGCCAATTTGATTCCCTCCCTCTATTTCTTTTTTCTTTTCCTTTCTCCTCCTGCGATGAGGCTACATTTTAATATTTTAATGTTTCAATATTTTAATGTTGTATTTTAATTTTGTTTTTAAGTTGTAATCATTCAACTTGTTTTTATTATTGCTTGTTAGCCGCCCTGAGCCCGGCCTTGGCTGGGGAGGGCGGGGTATAAATAAAAATTATTATTATTATTATTATTATTAATTTATTAAATGTTTCCAAGGAAAGATGGGGAGGTTTAATTTCCCCAGGCCTTTCAGAAGGGTTAAAGGTTTCAATGAGCCATTCTGTTTAAATTATGCATTGCCTTTTTGATATTGCTTGATATTGTTTGATAGTGCATGCAGTTGGGAGCGGAAGGAAGGGCGCCACCCACGCCATCTCGCACAGAGCTTACCTCACAAGGAAGCTAGCCTGGCTATTCCACGAGTTAGAAGGGGGGTCCTAGCATTCAGCCAATCCCCCCAAAACTCATAACACTATGTTGTTTTCTTACATCAGAATCTTGCCCAGGCAAGTTGGTAAAAATGAAACTTGAAGGCATGACACAAGAAAGAAGGAAATGAATTCTAGTGATTTTCCCCAATGATCTTTCCTGTTGTTGGAAGTACAAGTTTTGCAGCAGGCAAAAAGGCTACAAAGGCATGCTTGAACTCACAAGCCACATTAAGTCTTGGAATGCTCCAGTACACACATCCATTAAATGAGTGTTTATTTTGTGGAATAAGGAAGTGCTTAGTCAAATACAGAAGCATGTAGGCAGTTTAGTTAGAAGGCTGGTTGCAGTGAAAAAATATTTGCTGAGATGCGTTCCATAAGAAACAACAAGCACACCATGTTCTTTCTGCTGGAAGCTTGTATTTCTGCTCTTTCTGTACTTCTCATGTTGCCGTCAGGGAGCATTAAAGTACACAAGTGAACAGAGGTATGCTTAAGCCTATTGATTTCAGCGGGCTTAAGTGCTCCTGAACTTGTTCCACAGTGGTGAAGAACCTCAGGTTGGGGGCCAGAATGAAACTCTCCAGGCCTCATTCTCTGGTCCTCAGATGCTGCCTTGGCATGTACTTCACTGAGTGCTTTTGCCTTGCTGAAACATGTCCATGATCTGTGGTTATTTATTTATTTAAGGGATTTCTGCCCTGCTTTTTGAGGAAAGCCTCCACAAAGTGGCTTGCAGCAAAATTTGAAACAAACCCACATATTTAAATACACAGTTTGTTACAGCTGTAAGAGTAGAAAACTAGCACAATGCCTTTGAGTTGCCTAGATTGAGAGGTGGTGGTGGAAATTCTGACTTTGTGTGTGTGTGTGTGGCTGAAATGTACCCTTATGCAAATAAAAGGTTCTTACCTGTTGCCCAGAGTTAACAGAAGAAGGCAATGGAGGCTTGTTGTAGGGTGGAAGCAAGGGAGCCAACAGTGCACCTACTGGCTGTACGCAGCCAATGGCAGGCGGAACTAATGGGCTCTGTCTCCATGCGCTTCTCTGGTGAATTCTACAAAGGCAACCCTGAGACTAAGAAGGAAGATAACAGCTAATGCTACACCCAGGACTGGTTGCAAGTAAGGAGGCAAGTGGAGTGGGGTTGGCTCAGGGCAGCCTGAGCATGGAGGGGCAGTGCCCCTTTTGCCCTAGTGAACCACCAGCCTCCATTTTAAAGGGAAGGTAACCCTTGTTTTTTTGTAGTGGTGCAAAAGACACATTAGCTTGGAGAGTGCATCTGCGTCCCCATCCTAATGCTGCAGTGACTTTGACTATACAAAGATGAACTGTTTAGCATTCCATAAGCTCTTTTGAACAAACTTTAAAAATGTCTCCTTGAGTAGAATTTAAAACGAACTTTTCTCTCCTGAATCACAGATGCACAAACAAAAGAGAGTGCTTGCGTACAGCGGCATAGCACTACTGGCATTTTAGAATTGTTATCATTCACAGAACAGTTATTAATTCCACCTTCTCTTGTCTGCTAGCGTGGAGTGTTATTCCAAGCCTGTGGTATATGGATCTTTCCATCTATTCATCCATTTATCTCTGTCTCTAGGCGTGATAAGTTATTCAGACCCTGGAATTTTAATTAGAAGGAGCAAAAGGGGGGAAAGAGAAAAGAAAGAGGGGGGAAAAGTAACTTGTCTTACTCTATCAGTAGCGTGACCTTATTGAGATGCATAATCTGTTACTCATGTCAGACATCAGAAAGGGTGGCAAGACTTCACAATACTATTATATACAAGAAAATGGGACAAAGGAGAAAGCGCTGCACTGGGTTTGTGGGTGTGATGAGGAAATCAAATCCTTTGTTCTTGGTTACTCAGATTACAAATAAAACACCATTATTGTTTCCCCAAGAAACTGGGGTGGTAGACAATTTTAAGCTTACTCGGAATGGGCCCCCTGAAGTAAATTGATTTAAGTAGCTTCAGTTTCCGTGGCCTTGGTTCAGCTAACCCAGCATGCTGGTGGGAGCCTGCGTGGCGGCTCCCACTAGTCCCATGGGGCTGTCCCCCTCACACACTGCTGTGTCTCCCCCTTGTCTGCTCTGAAGGGTCAGGAGAACCTCCAGAACATTGGGGGAGGAGAGGGGGACAATTAGCTTGTGCTGGTGGAACAATCAGAAGGGCATGATGTTAAATTCCTCCGATTGAGTTTACTCTCACGTAGCAAACAATCATTGGTGCTTATACAGTGCTGTTCTTTTGCCCACACAGTTTGGTATTCAATTGCACTGGCAAAAACAGGTTGCTCGGTGTCATTTTGATGTCAGGTGACTATGACAAGTGGGTGTTCTCATTTACCTGTCAAATTTGGCACACAGTGGGTGAAGGAGTGGAGAGAAGAATCTGGCTCACCCTCTGGATCTAGTTCCCCAACCCTGACTTAGCTAGATCTCACCCTTGAGATATTAAAATAGTTTGACATTGGAACACTTTGGATGTGACATTAATGCATCTCATGGCAAGCAGCAGTGCCTTGTTTTATACTTGTAGAGATGAAATAGATGACCCAAGCAGTGACTAGGCTCGAGTTTCCTTGACTGTGTGTCCAGAAGTTCTGACAGCTTAGCTGCAAGATTTGTGTTTAATATCCGATATTAAAAGAAAAATGATTGTGTACTTGAGGCTTACATTTTTAAAAAATGTGTTTCATACAAGAGTCGCCTAGTATGAAAGGCATTTTATCTTAAGATAGAAGGGATATGATTTAGGATTAGATGCATTCTTTTCAAACCGTGGGTTTTAGAGATTCAATCCTTTCATAATAATAAAAATTATGGCTGTACCTTGGGGGCTGCTGATGTTCTTTCTCACATGCACAGGTTAAAGTTAAAGGAAAAAAATTGCTAATTCTTCTTTAGTTAAGAGATTATGTGGCAGTTTTTCAGATAGCTGTTTGGGTGGTGTTTTGATTTCTGCTTCTGCTAGCAAAGTGCTATGTATGGTTTATATATTAAACTTGTATGTTGCACTGAAGAGAAAAGAACAATGCAAAGTGATGTACAGTAAAACTAAATCCAAATGCATTAAGTCAATGAAACTTTTTTAAAAATAAAAAAGATCGGACTACAAAATAGCAGCAGGCTCAGTGAACCAACAGTCAGAAGACTTTTAAAACAAATTATTCTTGACCTGTAAGTAGAACAGCAAGAAGTACGCTGCTGTGGGAGGAGAGAATGGAAGAAAGACTCATTGTGCAGTGGAAGTCCTTGTGCATGGCCTCTGTTGATGGAGTGCATTAGGTGAATTCCACACAAAGCTTATAGAGTCTTAGTGCTGGTTCTTGGCCTTGTCAGTAACTATTGGGGAACTAATCAGCCATCCCTTGCTCGATCACATTGCTTCAGGAAGCTTACAAATAAAAATATTAGTGTTGGGTGAAAAATGTTCTTTGACTTTTACAGCACCATGCCACCAAAGTGGGGTGACATTCTTTGGTGACATGGAGGGGCATGTGAAACTGCATACATTTTTGGGGGGCGAGGATGTTATCAGTAAAGCCTGGAATGCAGCATCTGCTTTTACACTTAAAAACTGAAATAATTCTGACTGCAACGGCAGGCCAGTGGGGGCCTCCATCTTTTTCTCCCATAATGCATCTGTCATGCAACTGCATCATGTTGTAGTGTTGTTCAAAGGTAGCATTATGGGAGGACATGGCAGACTGGCTGACCACTGACAGCTGCTGTTTCCATCTGTTTCAATAGGCCAGAAAAATTTATATTAAGAAATGTGAAATCAAACATGGTGGGCCCACCTTTACTGCTAAGTTCCTCCAGTCCTGAAAATTTGTTTAATTCTCCACCCCTCCTGAAAACAATGAGATTCCCCCCATCACACTTTCATACACCCTGCAGGGGCGTGGCGCCCAGTGTGGGTGGGGGGGCAGCCGTGATGGCACCCCACCGGGATCACGCTGCCGGGGGCGGTTTGCTCCCCCCGCACTCCTCTTCCTCCACCGGTGAAGCCCTGGGCAATGTGTGTTATGTATTCAGTGGCCTATGTTTGCCTGAGCTTGAGTCTGGACTAAGGATTCTGAGCCCCTGTGTTCTGATTCGATACATGATATCCAATCACAGAATATTTCAGGATTTGGGCCTCTGCCATTGGCCATTAAGCTCCGAGTCATGATTCGCAGCTTGGAAGTTTAGACAGCTAATCATGTTGGGAGTGGAGTGGCCCAGGCCTTAAAAAATGTATATAAGCAGTTGCTTTGCCCTTGTTGTCCAGTTCTGTAGTTCAGTAAAGTTTCTTGCTGTTATCACTGTGTCTTGCCTCATGGGAACTCACCTACACTTCAGGGTGTATGGAGGTTCTGGGCTGCCTAGATGGCAAAGCCCTTTTCTTGGCCTTGCTGATGGGGTCCAAAGGAAAGCAGAGCAAAACATTTGGCACCAGCTTGGCTGCAGGAGTTGCTGGTGACTGACAAGTCTTTCTTGTCCTCACCAACCAACTGGTAGGGTATCATAAGCTGATAATAAATTTCAAGCAAAATTCACAAGGTTCTCTGTTGCTGGAGGGAGCTGAAGTGTTTGTACACAGGCCCTGATTCCACTTGGTCAGACTTTGTCCTAGAAAACCACACTTGATGCCAACAATCCCTGTGATCTCCCTGGTTGTCCATTAATTCCTAAGTGTTCTCAAAGTCCAATTAGCTGATCAAGCTGTGCCCTGCACTTTGGGGCAGCTTTGCTAATAGTTTTTGAGTGTACACCAGCGATCTAACCACTTTCTGCAGAAAAGCACCTCACACAAGTCACGGCAATGAGGTGGAGAGTTATTAATTGAAAATACATTTCCTCAGGAAAGGTGCTGAGATTTAAAAGAAAAAAAACAGTTCTTGCAAACTGTGCACAGAGCTTTGTTTGATGCTCTTCAGGATAAGCCAAAAAGGACTCACAGTTTGATGCTTTGTTACATTATTTTCCTCTGTTCGCTTTCTTAATGGGATTTACTGTCTATCCTATCTCAGACAAATGTCACTGTGCCAGCTATTGCTTACTATTCTTATTTTCTTCACTCACGCATACTGTGTGACTTTTATCTTCCGTGTAGTTCATAGCTAGCTTCCCCTTTTGTTTGATGATGGCTTTGGAAATGTTCCCTATACAAGCTGTTCTATTGAGAAGGGTGCCGGTTCCAGTACTTCAGCAGGTGACATGACGGAGCTAAACAGTAAACTGTTCATCTGCCGAAACAAACAGCTTGCACGGAAAACTCCCACCAGGGCCACTGCTTGGCATAGATTGGCCATTGTTAAAACCAAATGACAACATGGTTTCAAAAACTTCATAAAGGCCTTTGTGTAGTCTGTACTGTAATGATGTCCTTGTAGCAGGGAAAGACATACATTTGCAATGATTCCAGTTCAGAATCATTAACACCAGTCTTATTATTTCTGTGTCCTGAAAAGTCTCTTTTGAAGTTTGGGTAAGTGGTGGAAGCTATGAAATACACAGCTAGCTACTTATGCAGAAGATAAAAGTCACGCTGAGTGAGTGTGGCAAAGAAAAGAATAATGAGGGGCATTCAGTGTCATTTATCTGACATAGGGAAGAAGATAATTTCTTCTAAAATGGTCAGGAACCGCATCCCCCACTCCTAATGTAAATAAACCTATTTTCCATTGGGCATGAACTGGGATAATAGGAACTGGAAGGTTCTGGTTTGCAGAAATCTCTTTGCATGACATCATCTTTGTTAGGCCACTGGAAGCTTTTTGGAGTAAAGTTTGTGTGGTTCTGCAACTCCGTTGTGGGTTATAAGAACCCATCTTATTTCTATGATTGTAAGTTGTTTTAAGTTATTTTTATTATTATGTTTTAATGCTGCAGTTACTCACACTGGGACCTTAGGGCAAAGGGTGGATAATTTAATAATAGTAATAATCATAATTTGTTTTACATATTGTATTTTAAATTGCTGAAGCATGGGTAAGGCATTGAAATAACAATACGTTGTGCACTCCAAGGTAACTGGTGTCTGAAATGAGAGCCAAACAGAAAGCTGCAAATACATGGCATCTATATGACATTCCAGATATTTTTTTGAGTTAGAAGCTATGGTGACTTCTCTTTTCTGGCTGCTGGTTGGCCAGGCATTGTATTTGCATGTCCTCAAGATTCCGCCTCATCTCAATATTTTGGGGAAGCCACAAATTCGGAATTTTAGTGAATGCTATATTTCTATAACTGTATCTGTGGGTTAGCCGTACACCAAGTATGGGGGAGGTCTTCAGATGACACCCTTCCTTACATTGAATGGATGTGTGTGTGTGTGTGTGTTGTGAGCGTGGTGGTGGTGGTGGAAGAGCTAGGAATGCCCCCCTCAATGATTCCTTTCTATGTGTTTTTGTGTGTGTTCTTTAAATCTGCTGTGTTACTTGGAACTTTACCTGTCTTGAAAATCCATGGAAATGTTTTTGATCATGAGGAGGTAGGTGGCATCCAATAATTTAAGGCCTGCGTAGGGGCCTGAATCTGCTTAATAGTCAACTATTACAATTTGTTGGACCTTAAAGGGTTAACTTTATATAAGGATGTATTAGATGAATATGTCTGGTATCTTGGCTAATTGCCACGTCTCTCATGGCTTTGAAGTTCCAAAGCCATAAAAATGACAGTAGCTCATAGTCTCACATTGATAGTGAGGTGGGCGGCTTGCCAACCCTTTGATGCACCTGGCAATGGTATGGGATGATGCCATTGGTTCTTCCCCTGGCTGACCATGGAGACATGGCTGTCTTTTGTATTCGCAGGCACTACAGTATAAATACAAGAGACTAGAGCACTGTTATAGGTAGACTAAGATCCCAACACAAAGAGAGATCCAACTTTATGATGGAAACGGAGAGGTTCCAGCTCCAAGGGTGATCATTCGCTGTCATGTCTCATCTTTGACAGCAGATAGAACATACTGTAAGAATGAAAGAGTCTGGGAAGGGTTATTCATGAATGCTTTGTAGTTTACCTTAGTGACTATGTATGTGCATTTTATGTTTAAATACCGGTACTCATCATGTAGCTAATAAAACTTGTAAGCTTTATACACAAAAGCTTGCATATTGTCTACAAAAGAACAACAGTGCTTGAATATGTAAAGCATATAGGCACCTCAATAAGGGCTCACCCACACTTCTCTTTGCCCCACATTTTATTCTGTTTGTCCTGTGATTTCGTGTCTGAGAGGAGAAATTATCTCACTCACATTCCAACATGGACTTTTGACGCCTGTGCTGGCTCCTGATTCTTTTTGTCTGCTTTGAAGAGGGTGAAAGAGCTCCCTGGGCTGTACACAGTAGTTTTGTAGCTTTGGAAAATATAAAATGTGAATACTCCCCCCCCAAACCAAGAATAATATCCTAGGAAGAAATTCTTGGAATTTCTGATAGTAGAAAACATTTTGAAGCAGTTCAAATGCAGATGCATATCAGAATGTTGGAGTTTCTTTCTCTCCTCACCCTGCCCCGACAATCTGAGAGGAAGTCTCAGTGTTAATTAAGTTTTGAAATTCTCAGATCAATAGGTTGGCTATTAAATAGGGCGCCGTTGTCATACAGGGAAAGCATAAGGCTGGCAGGCTCTTTACATTCAACAGTGAAGTGCCATTGTTTTTGCACTTGCAATGGCCTCATTTGCATCCCAGCTAAAAAGGATTTGAGTTTCATGTTAACCTTTGTAAGAGTTGATGCAGTTGGATGCGTTTTCTAATGTCTCTCCTCCTGCCTCTTCCTGCCGGCACTGAATAAAACTATTGATTAGCATTCCGACTAGGGATGAGGGAGCTTGTTGTGCCTAATTTTGAACCCTGCTTGAAGACTGCAGAGGCAGTTGCATACTGACTTGGTTGCTATTAGATTCTTGCTCAAGCAGTGTGGCAAAACAAAACGGCTGGCACTTCCATTTTTTAAAAAACAACAGCTCCAACTTATATTTTTTCCTGGAGTAAATACACAACCATACCCACACATGCACAAACAAAACCACATCTCACACACAGCAGAAAAAGATCACAGAAAAAAGTGAGTACTCTGCTTTAAGGCATCACCCCTCCATTTTAATGTGAATACTGCACATTGTCTATATAGCTGTGTAATACTTGAGTGCTGAACTTGTGGCCCTTCAGATTCCAGCTGGAGTCCAGTAACATCTGGAGGGCTCTAAGTTCCCCACTCCTCATCTAATATATGTAGACAAGGTCAACGTATTCTTCACCCATTATTGTTCCAAGAAGAATGATGCGACACGCATGAAGGATACTAGATGCAAATATTCTCTTCCTCATCCTATTTCTCTTTATTTCGATTGTGCTTTGGGTGCATTCGTTTCATTCTTCCCATTGGACTTGTACTTTGTGTCCCATCAAGTTTTCTGCTCCACTGAGCTTTGCATTATGTGTAGTACGAGACAGTCCTTGTCCCTAGCAGATTGTGAATGGACCAGAGAGGGTATACCAAATGGATATAATGGGCCACAGAAACAGCGGAAGTGAATTGGAAGCTGACCTTCAGATCTTCATTGGAGGACCATCTCCAGGTTCTCATGCATAACGATTACTGGTGAGGGGGCCTTCTTGGTGGTGGTGCCCCATTTATGGAATGCTCTCTCCAGAGGGGCTTGCCTAGCACCCATGTTGTGGTATTTTTGATGCTAAGTGAAGACAGTTATTAAAAAAAACACACCTCCCAGGCCTTTATAGTTATAATGAATGATAATTAATTAGAACATATTTGTTGGGTGTTTTTAAATTTGCCCACCAAGTTGATTTCTTCTTGCTGGCTTTATGCTGGTTTAAAATGCATTTTATGCTGCTGCATTATGTTGCTTTTCAGATTATTTCTTCTCTGCTGATTTGTATTGGTATGGAGCTGATTTTATTGTTTTACATTTCAGATTGTATTTTGAATAGTGCTTAGTTATATGCCAGTATATTAAAAAATGCACCAAACAAAAAATCAAAACTTAAGCCCCTAACCCCCTGTTTGCTCAACTGTTCTGAAATTGGTCTTAATTTTTTTTATTATTCTGTGAAAGAGGCTCAGTTTTTTGCTGCATTCTCAGGGCACTTGAGAATTTTGAGGGGTTTTTAAAAAAATGTTGATGGGTCTGGGGTTTTGAGCTTAAACTGTTGTTGTGAGGTGGCCAAAGGTGGTGTGTTTTTATTTCTTGTAAACATTTCTCCAGTCCTGTGAAGCCCCCTTGGCTGCCTCTACTTCCTGATCTGAAAAAGCCTCGTGGGGTATGTTAGCTCAACATGTCTTCCTCTGAGCTTTGATTGAAGTGTGAGTATCTGGAAAGGCTGTAGAGTGCAGATTTGATGATTTGTAAAAGGAAAGAAAGAACACCTGCAAATGGCCTCTTGGCCATCACAGAGAAGGGTAGCACAACACGGTGTTTGTGGGTAATGTTTTTGCTCGTTATTATGCTATAGATTTTTGTGGTTTTTATATTGTAAACCTCCCTTGTGATCTTTGGATAAAGGGTGGTATAGAAATATAAAATAAATAAACAAAGGAAACCTGGATTTATATCTGGTCCTCGTGAAAATTCATCAGTATTTATTGTGAATTTCTCTCAATATACACATTTTTGTATGCAGTTGCCCCTTATATACACAACTTAGCAAAGCAATTTCCCCCAATATAATATATGTTATTTTCACTAATATATGCATGGTTTTGCAACTCTGCTATATGTGTGAACTTGTTAAAATTTATTTTGGATGGTTCTGAATGTTCTTTAGTTTATCAGAAGTCTTTATTAAGGTTCTTTGAAGGGCCTCTCACAGCACCAGGGTAAATTACAGAAAACGTCAAGCAGCAGTACGTAAATAAGGATTTCATACAGGTCTTTTTTTCAGCTGAAACTTACCAGAACTCAGTTCCTGCACCTCTCAGGTGGGCACCATTGCCATTCTAAGAGAACGAGGGAGGTGTTCGTGGTGAGTTCCGGCACCTCTTTTTCTAGAAAAATGATTTTACATAAATGATGTAATTTATGCAAGTGTCATAACATTAATAAAACAGAGCACTGTCCTCCCAAGGTCTGTCTTTAGGGCTGCGTCACCACAAAACCCCTAATGAAGCTTGATTTTTTTTAAATGCTGTGACTGGAGGGGAAATGACCTCTTCACCTCATCTTAGCAGCCCTTCCTTCAAATGGATTGGCTCTCAGGAACTAAAACTTCCAGCCCTTTATAACATAAAAGCATCAACAAACACAGAATGCATAGTGCCGGG